TATGCAGGTAAGGGTCTCAGGCTGCAAAATGCATGATTAGAAGAGGGTTATGTGTTTACTGCACAAAAGGAGTGAAGTCCCAGCATGCTAAACTACCTCCTACTTCTATGCTTGTCTGCTGTAGAGTGAATCCTTGTAAAAAAAAAAAAAAATCCACAAAAGCAAGCATCTACTCTAGCATTTTATTTTATTTTTTTTTTAAATTTTTGTATCATTGGTGTTTGAGAGAGTCAGATTCACTGGAACTTGAGTTACAGGCAGTTGTGAGCTACCATGTGGGTGCTAAGAATTGAACCCAGGTCCTCTGGAAGAGAAGCCAATGCTCTTAACCTCTGAGCCATCTCTCCAGCCACTTACCTTATTTATTTATTTATTTATTTATTATTTTTATTTTTTTTTGAAACAGGGTCTCTTTATGTAACACCCTGGCTGTCCTGGAACTTGCTTTGTAGACCAGGCTGACCTCGCACAGAGATCTATCTGCCTGTGTCTTTCTCCTGAATGCCAGGATTAAAGGCGACTGCTACCACCATCTGGATTTTTACACTAACATTTTAAAACTGGTGCCTCCTACTGATTCTTCAACAACTGGTTGTCACAACCAATAAACATTAAAGAGTTACTAATGTAGTGAGTTACCTACTTTTCTCTCTGATGCAGAATTTACTGGATAATATCTTAGTTTCTATCTCAATCTCACAGCACAAAGTGAACTGAAGTTACAGGGTGGGGGAAAGCCCCACCTGTGTGAAGATTCTAAATGGCTGGCTAGCTAATTTTAAATATACACCAGGACCTGGGGAGATGGATAAATGGTTAAAAGGGGCTGGGGTGAAGAACATTCCAGATTCTTTTAGGTATATGGATGCCAGGAGCTGGGGTGAAGCTTCCACCAGAAGAACCATCTCTAAGCTAACACTATTCTGACTATTAGGTAAAACCTTTGGGATATATTCTAAACATATCATAGCTTCCACTAACCCAAAAGCAAAGAATGTCCTCTGCTTGCACCAAAGACCTACAGCAGAGCTGCTTAATATGGCAGTGCAAACCAGTGGAAACAGAGAACCAGGCATTCAAAGCCAGCCAGCCTCGTTTACACATAATGTCTCCATGGAAAGTTTGAGGTAGCCTGGATTATGTGAGAGCCCTGTCATTAAAGATAAAAATGCAGTCAAGTGTGCTGGTGTATGCCTATAATCTCAGCACTCGGGAGGGAAAGGCAGGCAGATCTCTGTGAGTTCAAGACCAGCCTGGTCTACAGAGCGAGTTCCAGGACAGCCAGAGCTACATACAGAGAAACCTGTCTCAGAAAAACAAAAAACAGTAAAGTATGGTGGCCCATGCCTGGAATCCCAGCACTGGGAGGTAGAGAAAAGGAGGATCACAAGTTTGTAACCAGCCTAAGTTACAAAGTGAAACTCTTATCTTTAAAAATGTTTTTAAAAGAAGTCTTTTAAAACCTAATTAATTAAAGAACATCTCCAGGAAAGATTTCTCTATTATAAGAAAAACAAAAAACAAAAAAGGAGGGTCAAACAGAAGAAACAAAATTCTCACTTTCTAGCTGAGAGACTGTTGCCTGACCCTGTAATTGTGATGCCTTATTTAAACAATTACAGATTAACCCTGATGGCACTGTACCAAGTTGCCAGTCTCAGAGAGAACAAAGAGAATTTTAAAGTTTACTATCTCCAGATAGTAAGATATTCACTAAAATCTATTCAAACACACACAAACTATTTGTATCCCTGGCTGCTCTGGAACTTGCTAGAGAGACCAGGTTGACCTCAAATTTAAGATACACCTGCCATTTATCCCTAGTACTGGGATTAAAGCATTCACCTCCAAGCCCAACCAGATAACTTCTCCAAATTATTACATAGGAAGCCATTCCCTCCAAGAGGTGTGGTACAATTCATATCTCTGTCTCAATATCTCAATCTCTTTTCTGTCTTCTGTCTCTTCCTCTTCCTCACTCTCATTTTGCCTGCTGTGTTTGCATTCATATTGTCTATATTAAAATTTACGTCAGTTCTGGTGTGATAAATGCTTACAACCCCATACCTTGGCTTGTCGTCATTACGGCTACAACATTTTGCTGTAACCTACCTACATGATGTCCTCACCAATATGTTTGGTAACTACCTTGACTTATGACTCCTTTCTTCTATGACTACAGAACGATTATGTGATCACTTTCATGGTGGAACATGTCATTTCAGGCATCTTGAATCTGTTCCTGGACCACAGTCACTCATGTGATTCAGAATAAACTTTTTTTTTCCCAGTTTTTCGAGCCTGTCCTGGAACTAGCTCTTATAGACCAGGCTGGCCTCGAACTCACAAAGATCCTCCTGCCTCTGCCTCCTGAGTGCTGGGATTAAAGGCATGCGCCACCACCAACCAGCCAGAATAAACTTTTTAAAATTTATTTTTATATATTATGCATACAGTGTTCTGCCTGCATGTATGCTTGCACTCCAGAAGAGGGCACCTGATCTCATTCTAGATGGTTGTGAGCTACCATGTGGTTGCTGGGAAGGGAACTGAACTCAAGCCCTCTGGAAGAGCAACTAGTGTTTTATCTGCTGAGCTATCTCACCAGCCCAAAACTTATTTTTTTTTACCTTGTGGTAAAAGCTGTGTTTTTTGTCAGTTTAGTGATCCACTGTGAGATCCCAAAAACAACCGATTTTGGCACTTTGTGCCTAGTCCTCTGGGTTCCCTTCTTATATAGCTGCTGGTGAATCTTCCTGCTGCCCAAACTTCCCTGGTGGTCTGGGCTGGTGGTGGAAGTCCACTTACTTGCTTCAGACAGGAATTGAAGTGTTTGTATGAGAGCATTTGACAGAATCTCTGCTAGCATTTAGCCCTTTCTCCTTCCATTCCACTGATGGCTAAACGCTTACATTTTTCTTGTCTCCTCACTCCTGCAATTTTAGCTTAAAAATTCTGGGAGGATCTAAAACCAAAGTGTGTTGCCACATGCCCCTAAATTCAGCACCTGGAAGGGTAGAGTTGGGAGAATCACAAGATTCAAGATTCTCAAGTAGTTAAGGAGTTCAAGGTAAGCCTCAACTACATTGCCAAGTTCTGTGAAGATCCCATCTCAGCAGCCTGGCCCCCTTGGATCACATCTTCTGATCCGGAGGAACTGCCTTCCCACCAGCCATCATATTTGAATACTTGGTCCACTGTTGAACTGTTTGTGGAGGATTAGGAGGTATGACCTTGTTAAAGAAGGAGTATCACTGGAGGTGCTCTTCGAGGTTTTAAAAGCCTATGCCACTCCTAGTTAGCTAGCTAGCTAGCTCACTCTTGATGTGGGATTTCCCTCTGTATGCTATGATTACCTTTAATGAATAAAGAACTGCCTTGGCCTATTGATAGGGCAGAACTTAGGTGGGGGGGGGGGGAGAGGGGAAAGACTAAATGGCATGCTGGGAGAAAGGAGGCAGAGTCAGGGAGAAGCCATGTAGCCCTGCCGGACCTGGACGGGACTTTAGCCTGTAAACCACAGCCACATGGAGATACACAGATTAATAGAAATGGGTTAAATTAAGATGTAAGAGTTAGCCAATAAGAAGCTAGAGCTAATGGCCAAACAGTGTTTTAAATAATATAGTTCCTGTGTGATTATTTTGGTTCTGGGTGGCCGGGACGAACAAATAGTCTAATATAACACACTCTTTACCTATCTCTCTCATCTGTCTGTCTGTCTTCTTTACCCACCCTTCTGTTATATGCTTATAGACCAAGATGTAAGCTCTAATCTACCTTTCCAGCATTGTGCTGACTTCCATGTAGGTGCTGAAAACCAAACCTCTTCTCTGCAAGAACAGAAGCACACTCAACTGCTCACCCACCTCTCCAGCCTGATTTTTGTGAAAGATGAGCTGTAGGGATCTAGTTTCCTTCTTCCACACATGGAAGTCCAATTTCCCCAGAACCATTTATTCAAAGAGGCTGCCTGTTTTCCCAGTGTTTGGTTTCTGCTAATGTTTCTAGGGTTTTTTTTTAAAGATTTAATTATTATATTACAGTGTTCTGCCTGTATGTATATATGTATATTTGCACACCAGAAGAAGGTACAAGATCTCATTATAGATGGCTATAAGCTACCATGTGGTTGCTGGCAATTGAACTCAGGATCTCTGGAAGAACAGCCAGTGCTCCTAACCTCTGAGCCATCTCTCCAGCCTCTATAAGAGACATGGTCTCCTGTATTGCAGACTGGCTTTGACCTTAAATTTCTGATCCTATCCCCATCTCTGAAATGTTGGGTTGGTGGTGTTCACTAGCACACATGGTTTATGTGGTGCTAGGGACCAAACCTAGGAGTTTCTGCATGTTAAATAAGCAATCTCAACCAAGTAAACCATATTGTCAGCCCCCAAAATACACTTTAAAAGAACATATATATATAGGTGTTTTGCCTGCCTATACATAAGTGTATCACATGCATGCAGGCCCCATGGAGGTAAGAAGAGAGTGTTGAATCCTCTAGAATCCAGCAGATTGGAGTTATAGACAACTGTGAGCCACCATATGGCTCACAACATGTGGATGCTGATAATCAAACATGGGTCCTCTAGAAGAGCTCCCAGTGCTCTTAACCTCCCCGAAGACATTTCTGCCAGCTAAATGTAGAACACTTTTCATCCTTTTGAGTTGCCCAGAGTGATATGCATAGTGAGTTCTTGGCCAGACCTGCCAGGGATACACAGAGAGACCTTGTCTCAAATAAAGAACTAAACTAACAAATGCCTGCTGTGTGGGGTCATGTGAGTATTACATATTACCTGTTTATGTGGCCCAAAGGGAAAGAATATACAGTACAGTATGTCAGTTTCTCTGAAAGGCTCAAAGTACTGACAACCTCAGAAATTCCTTAGAGAAGAAACCTGACCCACAGAAAAAAAAGTTAGTCTGTTTTTTTTTCTAGATATTGACTAAACCTGATAGCACTAAAATAATGAAGACTCATTCTGTCATAATTCTGCTTACAAGTTTTATTTTCATAGTAATTGTTACTAGTGGTTTTTAGTGACTTTCTTATATTTACATTTTATATACACATTTATACTTGGAAGGTAAAGAAACTGTACAATAAAAAAGGTAAAAAGAAGAAATATAGAACATAAGACAACTTCAGGAAACTAATACCTGAAAGTAAAATTAAATCCAGGCCAAGTGGATTCAGAGATTTCTGCCAGAGCTTATGTGCCCTTTATGAGGACACCAATATCAAGGCATAGTCACAAGAGTTAAAAGCTCATTCTAAAACCTATTAAGACTCTAAAAACTCCTTCAGTATTTTATAACACTACCAGTTTCACGGAGCCAGCCCCTTCGATAGGAGTTAACTCTTCAGGGTTCCCGAGGCTAGAATGATCAACCCATAGGGTAAAAATATATGGACACCCTCTGGTCCCATATTCCTTAGGCAATTTATTATACCATAAGGAAGAATCTCTGGCTTTTTAGTCTATATATATATATATATATATATATATATATATATATATATATATATATATATATATGTATTGTCCACCACTGAATCTGAAATGTGTGCTTCTATGTTATTTCAAACCAAATTGCAACATCAAAACAGTATAAATCTAATCAGTAACCAAACAGTATTTTGTACAGATGTGACCCATAATAATTCAAATGATTTAGGTTAGGTTCAAAAATTAAGTATAATAAATTTAATGCCAGTTTACCAATGATTAATAATTTATATGAGATGCCATCAAAAAGACTAAGAAAAAAGGTAAAATTACTTTTACTATTATTCCCATCAATTAGAAAAAATATGCATAGAGTTTCACAAGTCTTAGACTTAGCTATGTAAGATTTCAAATTTCAAACTGAAATTAATAAAATTTGTTTCTATAGATAGAAGATGGATTTTAACTAAAAAAATTCAAGTCTTGTAAGTAGTGTGTTATCTAGAACTCTTAGAATTCATTGCTTTTTTATTCTTACTCTCAAAGTCAAGTCTTCAGTCCACTAAAGTGCAAAAAGATCTTTCATTCTACCAGTTAGTTTTTTAATGTTAAGTTACTACCTAACAATTTGTCAGACAAGAAACAAAAAGGCTAAAATTCTTCTGTAATAGAAACTCCTTAGAGAAAGAATTTCTCTTCAAAAGCAAAGGGACACAACACTGTGGGAAACACCATAAACAAAACAAGAAACAATGTCCCACCAACATTTCCAGTCTAAGAGGGTCAGAACTGCCCTAGCCTATGATATGGTAAGCAGGAGTTACAGTGACTTCAATAACATACAATGTAGATGCTTACTATTGGTCTACAATAGCTTCAAACGCCCCGAACTGGAGATAATACATGTATCCTATCTTTTTTGGAGGTTAAAGTAGGATTTAACAATCCTATTCTGACCCCTGAAGTGTGTTTGTGGTAATTGTTAAAAAAGAAAAAATATAAAAAAAAATTGAAGTTTCTGTTGAAACTATTTTTTAAAAATTATTGCATTTAAAGTATTCACTCCAAATTAAGGAGTATGTAAAGGCCATCTAAGCCTTTTCCTGTGAAAAATGGCTCTTCCAGGTACTTTTTTGTTAATACTGTCAATAAATTACGTATTTCATTTCCTTCAGCCATGGAAGTTCAACCCAGCAGTTTTGCAGCTCTGATTCTTCTCTCTAGCACTTCTTTCCATGCTATCAGCATCAAACAAGAAACTGCCCCAAAATTAGCTTTTGCATTTCAGTTTGTCCCTGACTCCAATGTCAGCTCTTCAGAGCAGGACTGCAGTTCTTATCCCCTTCTTTAACGTCCTTCGTTACAGATGCAAAGACCTGCAAATTGCACGAAACAAAGAGATTTAAAATCCTCACACCATCCCTGCTTACAGTTTCTAAGGGCAGAGTCTCACAGCCCGCGCTGGCTCTGGTTCTGATCTGCTGCACAGCAGAGGATGCCTCTGACTGCTGATCCTTTAGCTGCCCCCTCAGCAGCTGAAATTTCAGGCATATGCTACTTTCTTAGATTTCCTGGGGTTTTTTTGTTTGTTTGCTTTGACTTTTCTTGTTTTTGTTTCTATAGTTTATTAATTCATTGGTTGTGTATGTGAGTATGTGTACATGCCTTGGTCAGCAGACACCTTGCATGAGTTGGTTGTCTTCTGCCACATGGGTCCTAGAGATTGCCAGCAGGAACTTTTACTTGTTAAGCCATCTCTCCACCTCTCCTTTACTTTACTTTTAAAAGCCCAGTTTTACTGAATATAATTAAATTCCAGTTTTCATCAACTGAAATTACTTTAATATAACTGGGACAATATTTTTATATTTTATTTCAAGGGCAATTAAACTAAGATTTTAAAAGACAGATGTGTCATTCATGGACTAAATGATAATCCTTACTTTATGTCATTTACCAGTATATATGTTTCTCCTAACAAGACTAAGCATCTGAAAGCCAGGATCTCTGGGTGTGGTTGCACATGCTGTATTCCAGAACAGAAGGATCATGGGTTCAAGACTGTGTTGGTTTGAATAAGAATGGCCCCCACAGGCACATATATTTGAATGGTCATCCCAGAATGGGAATACTTGGGACAGATTAGGAGGTATGGCCTTGTTGGAGGTAGGTGTGTCACTAGGGGTGGGTTGTGGGGTTTCAAAGGCTCAAGCCAGGCCCAGTGTCTCTTTCTTCCTGATACCTACAAATCCAAATGTAGAATTCTCAGCTACCATGTCTACCTGAGTGCTGCCATGCTCCCCACTATGAGGATAATGGACTAAACTTCTAAAACTGTAAGTACAACCAAATTAAATGCCTTTTATTTTTAAGAAAGTTGCCATGGTCTCTTTACAGCAATATAACACTGACTAAGACAAAGGTCATCTTCAGCTATACAGTAAGATCAAGTCTAGCCTGAGTTAAATGAGGCCCTGACTCAAAACAACAAAAAGCTAATATCATATATTACATTCTTTCTGTTACAAGCTTTTAGTGTACAGCAGATGGGGTTTTTTGGGTGGTACTTCATTTTTTACATTCATCTATCTATCTATCTATCTATCTATCTATCTATCTATCTATCTATCTATCTATCTATCTATCTATCTATGGTATATGTGAGTGAATTAGCATGCATGTGCCATTGTGCATGTGTGGAGTCATCTACATGTGGGACCCAAGAATTAAGCTAAGGTATTATTTAGCATCAGCATGCATTTGCCACAGTGCAATCATCAACATGTAGGACCCAAGGGTATGTGTGAGTGCATTAGCATGCATGTGCCATAGTGCATGTGTGGAATCTTCCATCATGTGGGACCCAGGGATTAAACTCAGGTAGTCATATTGGCAGTGGGAACCTTTACCCTTGAATCATCTTGCCAGTTTCATAGCAGATATTTAATACAATTGTTTGAAATATCAAAGTAACCCCATGACTGCATTGGTGAGTGATTACTGTAGGTGGCAATTCACTAAAATACTACAGGATTTATATAAAATAAAGCTGTAAATTTATAAAAGAAAAAGTCATTTTAAATCCTTCCATCTTAAAGCCAAGAATTATTTTTTAGTTTAAGACTAACATTTGTGATATAGATAACTGTTTTACAAAGCATCAATAAATAATTTTAACTATTAAAAGTTTAAAAAAAGGGGTGAGGGAGAAGGTGGAGGGAGCAGGAGAAGGGGAAGAAGTGGAAAACAGATATGGCATGTAAAATGAGAAAAGATAGTTTTAAAAAATAAATTTTTAAAAAAGTTAGAAAAAAATACCTGAGTCCATTTTTTGGTGCTATTCTGCATCTGAATGGCTGCAATACAGCTGAAAAGCTTTTCTGATGTGATATCTTCTGGCAATTTGGTGAGAAATTGTGCTATATGAATAAAGTCCATCTGTAGGAGTATATCTTCATATAGCCGGAGAATCCCCAATCCAGTCCTAAATAAAAATTCCTCTCCATCTCTGCAAAACACATCCCAGACACGACAAGCCAGATCAAGTGGCAGTGACTTGCTGTACAGCGTGAAGATCCTAGAGTCAGGGAGAGACAGTTACTCAACTGTTTACTTATTCACCCCATCAAGCATCACTACAGAAGAAGAAGTGCATAGGGATAAAAGGACAAACACAATGTAATGTCTGTTCTCTAAACTTGAATAGTGATAAGTTAATAAGTAATGACGTTAAGTAAATTTACAACCTTACATGGAGATGAAGTCTGGGATAAAACGGGGTGGAATAGCATAATGACAAGAGCCATGGAGTTCTGAAACCAGAATGCTTGAGTCTGAATCTCTAATTTCCATCTTTGTTATATGACCTAAACATAATATTTAGTTTTGCTATGCCTCAGATTCCTCATCATAGCAGACTAAAGATATTATATTACCTATTTTAGGGCTGTTTTGAAAATTAAAGTAGTAAAGTCATTTTCTCATCTTGTTATTGGTTGTTATGTATTTATTGGAGGTTGGGGCAGACAAGCTCTCACTATATAGCCAGGCTCCTGCTTATAACTCATGCTCCTCCTACCTCTGCCTCTCCAAGAGCTAGAACTTCAGGCATGCACTACTATACCCAGATTAATCAAGGGTTCAAAACAGTGTCAGATATATAAAAAATGTTCAAGACTTGAGGTGCAGCTTAATCCTAGAGAAGCTTGCAAGCATGTGCAAGGCTGTGTGTTTAATCTCAGCGCTATACATGTCAACCAAACCAGCAACAAGGGAAGGAGGGGAAAAGGGGAGGAGGGAGGGAGAACAACCAAAGCAATGGTGAGGAAGGTGGGTGGAGAAAGAAAGAGAAAGAGGGAGGGAGAGGGCAGAGAGAGAGAGGAAGCAAATCAGAATATATCAGGGAAGAGAAATGAAAAAGGCCCAGTGACTAGGAAGGCATCCTATTTGGTAAAGGTCATTATCTGCTTACTCATTTTTCTTCACTAAAGTTTACAGCTAGCCTAGGGTCGGTGGTAGAACACCTGCCTAGCATGTAAGCTACCCTGGGCATCATTCCCAGGATAAACTGAATATGGTGGCACATGCTTGAAACTCTAACCCTTGGGAGGTAGAGTAGGAAGATTAGAATTTCAAGGTCATCCTCAGCTACCAAGGAAGTTTGAAACCAGCCTGGACTACAAGCCCTGTCTCAAAAATAAAATTCCATAACTACTCCTTACTGTTGACAACTTCATAACCTCCACTTTTAAGAGACTTTTAAAAAAAAAAAGTTTAAGGAGTATGCCTGTGTGTATGTCTGTTCATGTAGTGCCTGAGGAGGCTAGAGAAGGGCATCCAATTCCCTTGGATTTGAGTTACAGACACCCTGAAGTTGCTGGAAGTTGAACCTGGATCTTCTGGGACAACAGCCAGTGTTCTTAAACACTAAGCCATCTCTCCCGTCCTAAATTCTCCACTTCTTATCAAAATTCACAGTGATACTAAAGTCAACTGCCTATTGCTTACCACACAAAACCTCAAAATTAGAAAGAATATCCTGGAAGTAAGAAAATAAATATTATCATCTAAACAAGGAATTATGCCTCTTTCAGAACTTTGGATAAAGCTTTGAAAAACATCTTATTAAAGAAATATTACCATATAATATATCTCTGCTGTGTTAAGAATAAAGAAATGACAACTATATTTTCCCTGAGATATCAATATATGCTAGGCATTAAATAAGATAATCCATCACTACAATTCACTACATTTCAAGATATTACTACACTCTTTTTTTTTTGAAAAAAAGAAGAATTTATTTACTGCATGTGTGCATGTGTGTGCATGCACATGTTTGCCATGGTGCATGTGGATGTCAGAGAACAACTATTGGGAGTTGGTTCTTGCCTTGCACCTTGTTGAGGCAGGGTCTCTATTGCTTCTGCTGCTGTACTCATTACTCTAAGCTAGCTTCCCAGGGATTCTCTTGTCTCCGCCTCCCATGCTACCCCCGGAATGCTGAGATATGTGCCACTTCATCTGGCTTTCTATATAGGTTACAGGGGTCAAAATCACATCAGACTGTGTGGCAAGTGCTTTCCCATGCTGAGCCATCTTCCCAGGCCCCTATTCTCTTCTCTTTCCTCTACTTTGCAAAAGACTTTAATAAACACATACATACATATATATAATTTTATGTTAAAAATATTTTATATATCTGCATATATTATATAGAGCTGTAGTTACAGGCTGTGGAGCTGCTCAAGCATTTCCCCAGTAGGGAAATGAACTCAGGTTCTCTGCAACAATAGCACGCACTTTGTTTGTTTGTTTTTTTTTTTAAAAGAACTGCATCACCACACCACACAAAGTACTTTTAACCACTTAGCAATTTCTATGACTCTCTCCTATTTCCTTTTATTAAAACAAACAAACAAACAAACAAAAACCCAGAAACTTATTTCAAACCAGTCTATGTTTTTTGTTTGTTTTGTTTTTCGAGACAGGATTTCTCCTTGTATCCCTGGAACTCAACTTTGTAAATCAGGCTGGCCTTGAAAGAGATCCTGTTATGTCTGCCTCGGGAGTACTGGGATTCAAGGCATGTACCACATCTGGCTCCAGTCTGTTTTTAAATATGTCCCTATATAATGTGGAACTTTTTCTATTTGTAAGGGAAAGGTTCTTTTGCACATATAATCTCATCTATCAGATTTACTATATTTCCTAAAAGAACAGAGAAAGTTATAGTTTATTTCCTTTTTACTGTTATTTATGTCTACTAGTGACTTACCAATCTATCAAGTATATATCTGGTGTAAGACTATATGACTTGAAATGAAGAAATAGTTTGGACAGGTTTTCCTCAAAGAATACTTCAAATGTTGCAAAATACTTCAACATCTATAAACAGGAAATAAAATCAATAAAATTACAAAATAACCTACTACAAAAAGAAAAATCATTAACATTAATAAAAATTTTATTAGCAACTCTTCTGAGTTGCTTCAAGTTTTCCTAAAACTGCCACTCAATAAAATCTTCATCCATTTTATTAGACTATCTCTGCCTTCTGTGTTTTTTATTCTAAGCAGACATTCAGAGTACAGAAACATATGTGGCAAACACAATCTATCCTAGATGTTCATACCATGCTGTGGTCCACTCGGAAAAAGGCCAACTGGCATGGCTTATTTAGGAGATTTGCAAATGCAATGAAGGCGTCTGCTTCTTCCAAATTGAGAATGAGCACAGCTGCAATGAAGGACATCCCTTGGACCTTTCAAAGGGAAGGGAAAATAAAAATGAATTTAAACAATTCTAGAGTTTAGTTACCCTCCTCAAAATTTACAAATTGATATTAAGAATTTACTGATTTCTCCCCCCTCCATAAAAGCAAGTACTAACAAACTATAATAGTTGTGAAATTCCCTAATTTTAATTTATTGGTCATGTGATAGGGTTTAATAAGTCAGAAAAAAATTTAAGCCAGCCTTTATTTGCTCTAAGAGCCTATCTCAGTATACCATCTAATTATTTCTTCTTAGTCTAAATTCTTTCAAAGTTACACATTAATGAAAATTAAGTGATTGTTTTCACATTGTAGCATACAAAGAACTAAGAATAAAAGAGGCTATGGATAAATTGCTAAAATTCTAAGAAAGAAGTTGTGGGACTTGAAACAGCCTGAACTTGTGGGGAAACCACAAGAAAAAAAATGGAGAAAAAAAAGTCCCTTAATGAAAAGAGCTTAAACAAAGAAATGACAGCCCATATAGAATACAACATTTATAATGGAATGAATAGAAGACACTTAGAAAAAGATTCATTTACATTATGAAAGGCCTTAATAAAATAGCTAGTGGGTTATCTGTATAGTAATTACAATGGGACTGGAGAGACAGCTCAGAGGTTAAGAGCACTGACTGCTCTTCCAGTAGTACTGAGTTCAATTCCCAGCAACCACATGGTGGCTCACAACCATCTGTAATGAGATCTGGTGCCCTCTTCTGGTGTTCAGGCATACATGCAGACAGAACACTATACATAATGAATAAATACTTATTCTTAAAAAAGTAATTACACGTCTCTTTAGTTAAAAACATAGTCAAGAATCCTATAATAGACATACACACAGAGTCCCCTGAGAGTAACTGCAATAATGGATGTGTCTTGTTCCCAACCAAATATTCTAAAACGTCTGTCTATAATCACCATCTCGAGCTTCTTTTTTGGGGGGGGGGGGACGGGGATCAAGATGGTTTCTCTCTGTTGTACTAACTGTCCTCGAACTCACAGATATCGGCCTGTATCTGCCCCCTGAGTACTGGATCTATACAAAGGTGCACCACTACTGCTCGGCTATCTCCAGCTTATTGCATTCCCTTGTAACATACTTCAGATGGATTCCCGCTCACTAATATTACTACATTGCACTGATTCATTCTTTCCTTTCTTGGGGGTGAAAGGGATAAGATTTCATATTGGAGTAAGCTAGCCTGGAACTCACTATATAGCTAAGACTAGCTCAATCTCATAGCAATCCCCCTGTCTCAGGCTACTAAGTGAGAGGATTACAGGTATGAGACATCACTCTATTTTCAATATTTTTTTATCTATTCCTATTTCTCTGGAAATATACAAATTAATATAAAACAGAACAAAGTTGTACCAGGCAATGGAATCTCTACAGTTCTTTAAATGAAAGGAGAGAAGATGAAAGTTCAATAACTTCTAGTTAAACACTGGACACTCAAATTTTCTTTGTTTCTTCCCCAAATCCAACATGACAGTTAAGGGAAATGTAAATATTACCTTGGGAGGACAGAGAGAATGGAAAAGGTTACAAATGGTGTAAATGATGTAAACATCATTTTAGCATTCTAACTAAAACAAGTGGAAATGCTGAAACAAAGGTCTGCAGGAGAAAAAGCCAACAGTCATTGAGCCAGAGAATCGTGTCTGGCTCAAGAACTGACGCTGGGAGACATTCTCAAGTTGAGGAGTAGGGCGAAAATGCAGAGTTGGTTCATTGTACTAAGTGAGAAATTTTCCTCCCTTTATCCTGTATCAACAGGTAACTTGTCTTCCCCAATCTAGCAGAATATGCAAAGAATTTATTCAACAGAGGAACAGCCACAGAGAAAAGATGGTTAGGGAGACAAGCCAAAGCAGTCACTGACAGCAGAGGTGTTAACGCGCAGAGAAAAGATGGTTAGGGAGACAAGCCAAAGCAGTCACTGACAGCAGAGGTGTTAACGCGCAGAGAAAAGATGGTTAGGGAGACAAGCCGAAGCAGTCACTGACAGCAGAGGTGTTCATGCGCAGAGAAAAGATGGTTAGGGAGACAAGCCGAAGCAGTCACTGACAGCAGAGGTGCTAACGCACAGCCAGTTTATTCTCGGTAGTTGGTAAGAGATGGAAAGCTTCCTCTTCAGGTAAAGCAATAAGCTCAAAAGATAAAGCTACAGATAATGTGTCTATAAATATCTAATACAACATAGTCTTGATAGGTATAGATAAGATTTTTATATACAAAAAACAGATTGAAACAAATACTTACATAACCAACATCAGGTCTGTAACATGTATATGCCCCTAAGACACTATGTAAAACATCATGATATGGACCACCCTTAGGAAAGAGGAATAAAATTTGAAATTGTAAGTATCACTAGGTTAATGCTCATGAAATATTAAAAACTGCAAAACTAAAATTAAAAAACTGTAGCATTCTCTAACCAGTTTTAGAATATTTAATCATTATAAAAATATTCTACATGCACTTATCAAGATGTTTTCAGAATTAATAAAAGTTTGATCTTAAATAATAAGTCAAATATACTCACTTGATTACAACTTATAATTTACAGACAATTTTAAATACTTCTAAGGTATAATATGATAAATATAGATTATTTTTCTATTTAAATTTTTTCTATATTATTTATATACACATGAAGATAGAAACTATGGCCTTGCATATGCATGTACATGTTCTTATACTAAGTCCAATTCACTCTGTATAATTTCAGAAAAAAATAAAAGTGGCCAGGCATGAAGCACACAACTTTAATGCCAATAAAGCAGGGTGTCACTATGAGTTTGAGGTCAATGTGATCTACATAGTGAGTTCCAAGACAACTGAGGTTACATAGTAAGACGCTGTCTTTAAAAAACAAAAAGTCAACCAGGTATACTGAGTTGTGTCAGTAATTTTAATAGCAATAGTAATTTTTTTCTTTACTCTTGCCCCCCCCGGTTTTGTTTGTTTGTTTGTTTGTTTTTTGTTTTGTTTTTCTTGAGACAGGGTTTCTCTGCAGCTTTGGAGCCTGTCCTTGTACTAGCTCTTGTAGACCGGGCTGGCCTCAAACTCACAGAGATCCACCTGCCTCTGCCTCTGCCTCTGCCTCTGCCTCCTGAGTGCTGGGATTAAAGGCGTGCACCACCACCACTGGGTTCCCCTTTGGTTTTTTGAGACAAGGTTTCTCTGTGTATCTTTGGTTGTCCTGAAACTCACGCTGCAGACCAGGCTGGCCTCAAACTCCCAAGTGTTGAATTAAAGGTGTGTGCCACCACACTCAGCTCCAATAGTCCTTTTTTAAATGTACATGTATAGGTTTTCTGCCTGCATGTATATCTGTGGACAATGTGTGTGCATGAAGTCCATGGAGACCAGAAGAGAGTGGCAGATTCCCCAGAATTAGAATTACAGAGAGCTGTGATCTACCACAAAGATGCCAGTAATAAAATCTGAGTCTTCTAGAAGAGCAAACAACTGATCTTAACTGTGGGGTCTTCTCTGCAGCTCCAGTGTTTTTTTCATTTATTTACTTATTATGCATATATGTAGGTAAATACATGTCAGGAATTGGTTATCTCCTTCCAACTATGTGGGTTCCTAGGATCAAACTCAAGCTGTCAGGCTTGGCAGCAAGCACCTTTACCTGCAGAACCATCTCACTGGTACCAAAAGTAAAAATATTATCAACACAAAGACTGTATTATACGTAAACTATTTCCTTGGATTTTAATATTAAGAATTAAAGATAGCCAGTTCCTGTAAAAAATAAATATAAAAGTAAACTATTTCTTCCTACTTCAGTGGTAATTCTAAACAACTTAGAACCAATGTATTATATTTTAACAGTTTGTCAGGTAAATCTATTAATTCAAGCATAAAAATTAACTATAACAAAAATGTAAGTTCCTACTATATAATAAATATGTGCTATGATAACTACAATGTGTTTTATTCTATAGAAAACAAGTGCTTTAATTTTTGTTAGTTTTACATTTTTATATAAAGACTCACATTATTTTTAATTTTTATTTTTTTATGCATATGAGTGTTTTATCTGTATATATATGCCTGGTGCCAAGGATGTCAGAAGAGGGAGTCAGATGCCCTGAAACTGGTGTTAGACATAGCTGTAGGCTAGAAACTGAACCCAGGTCCTTCTCTTAACCATGGAGCCATTTCTCCATTCCTGCTAAAAACAAAGCTTCTTTTGTTTTATTAAAGCAAGGTGTCACTATGTAGCTGCAGGCTGAGATTCACTTGCCTCTGCCTTCTGAGTGCTGGGATTAAAGCCATCTACCACCATGCCTGGCTTCTTCTCAAATTTTAAAAATATTTATTTCTTTAAAAAAAAATACCTGGGGGCTGGAGAGTTGGCTCAATGGTTAAGAGCACTGGCTGCTCTTCCAGAGGACCCAAGTTCAATTCCTAGCACCCACATGGCTCACAACTGTCTGTAACTCCAGTTCCAGGGGATCCAACACCCTCACACAGACATACATGAATGCAAAACACCAATGCATGTAAAATAAAAATAAATAAATATTATAGAAATAATATGTGGGCTGGCATGGTAACTCATGTCTTTAATCCCAGCATTTGGCAGGCAGAGGCAGGTGAGTCCTGTGACGTCTACACCAACCTGCTCTATATGGGATACATAGTGAGACTCTATCAAAAAATAAAATAAAAAATAGTGCTTATGGATTTACAGAATTTGTCCCATTAAGTATTGAAAGAATAAAATAAAACAGCCGTTAAAAACTGACTGGGAAACCTCACCTTCTGAAAGATGTAGAGAGATGGAAATGTACGGGATATGTCCAACTTAATTAATTCCAGGCTAGCCTCTCGGTCGGCAACAGATAAACCTGTATTACCAAACAAATAAATTTAAGCAGAGGCCAATGGCATTGCTATATGTTAACATAAGTAGAAAAGCTGAATAATTAAGAATGTGCAAGAACACTGAATAGTCTGTTAGAACTTAGGACTTAGCCTCTTCCCCCACCCCGAGCATTGTTTTTTTTCTTGTTTGTTTGGTTTTGAAACAGGTTTCATTATATAGTTCCAGCTGTCCTGAAACTCACTATGGTCACCCAGCTGGCCTCAAATTAATAGCCATCCTCCTGTCTCTGCTTCTCAAGTGCTGGGATTAAAAGGCAAGCATCTTGCCTAGCCAGTTTCCGACTTTTCTATTTTGTGTGGGAAATTTGAGACAGGCTCTCATATAGCCTAGGCTAGCTTCAAACTTCAATTCCCCATGTAGACTTGAATTCCTGATCCTCTTGCCTGTACCCTCCTGAGTGCTAGTATTACGGCATGTGCCACTATACCTAGTTCGTGTGGTACTGGGGGTTAAACATGGGCCCTTGTGTATGCTAGGCAGGTACTGTCTACTGAGCTACATCTTTAGTCCTCTTTCCCTTCTGGGACAGGGTCTCACTCTGTAACCCAGGCTAACCACAAACTCCTATCAGTACTTCTATCAAACTTCTATCAGCCTTCTAAGTGCTGGGATTATAGACCTCCAACCACAGAAAAGAAAACATGGTGTCTACTTCTTCTCTTTCTCCCTCCTGCTGCACCTTGGTTGGTTCTCTCCTATCATATGGGAGACATGAATCACACTCATCCTTAGATTTGGCAGTACATGCCTTTTCCACTAAGCCATCTTGACAGCCCTGGCATAATTCTCTATTACATTCAATTAACTCATTGTGAAGTACAATTTGTTTTGTAAAAGTTCTAATGTTCAGGCTACACAGCTGAAAATGACCCTGAACCCAGTCCTCCTGCCTCGACCCCCTAAAGTGTAGGGATAAAGGTGTATTACCCTTACTCTCAGACACATGCCATTTTACTTCATATATGTTGTTTCTTTTCTGTTTTGTTTGTGGCTCTGAGCAATTGTTCTTCAACCACCGAGTTTCAGTTTTAGATATTTTTTTTGTTTGCTTGATTTTCTTTTGGTTTGTTTGCTTGTTTTCTCTGTGTAACAGCCCTGGCTGTCCTGGAACTCACTTTGTAGACCAGGCTGGCCTCAAACTCACAGAGATCCACCTGCCTCTGCCCTCTGAATGCTCAGATTAAAGGTGTGTGCCACCACCACCTGTCCCTTTTGTTGCTGATGTTGACATTTCCGATCTTAATTTGTATAATTTTGGCACTTCATAAAAACTGAGTCAGGGATGGGGATATACAGATATACACCTGTAATCCCAGTGCTCTGGAAACAGAGGCAGCAAGTTCAAGGCTAGACTGGGCTATAAATGAATATATCTCAAATAAAAATAATAATAAATAAATGAAAAGAATAATGCAACAGCTGAGATCCTGCTAATACAAAATTTCACATATCTTCACTCCCTTTGCATTTGCAGTTCCTCACAAATAGCTATAATAGCTGACTGATCTCAACACGATTCCTTCAAGACCCTCAAAATCAAGTCTTTACTCTGACCACTTAGTAATATTTCCCTTTCCTAATGTCACTTTCTAAAACTGAAAACAGCATTTTGTAAAGTGGTTGTTCATAGACAACCACTATGAGATAAATACTGTTTCTTTATTGAAAGATACATTTTGGAGTTTTACTTACAGGCAAGAGTTTGCTTTCCTTTTTTATTTATTTAAATTTTTCAAGGCAGGGTTTCTCTGTATAACAGCTCTGGCTATCCTGAAACATGTTTTGTACACCAGACTGGCCTCGAACTTACAGAGACCTACCTGCCTGCCTCTGCTGGGATTAAAGGTGTGCACCACCATATTCAGTGAGTTTGCTTTCTACACAGTAGATATAATACGAAAAAAGGACAAAAGGAAAAAAGGAAGGAAGGAAGGAGGGAGGGAGGGAGGGAGGGAGGGAGGGAGGGAGGGAGGGAGGGTGGGAGGGAGGGAGAGAAGGAGGGATGAAGGAAGGAAAGAAAAGGAGGTTGAGAATATAGCTTAGAATTCATGCTCAGCATGTATGAAGGCCTGGGTTCAATCCCCAGCACCAACAAATGTCCACCACATAAACAGGACATAGTGGCTCACACAGATAATCTTAGAACTCAGGAGATGGAGGCAAGACATCAGTACAGTGTCATCCTCAGCTATACAGTGAATTCAAGGCCAGGCTGAACTGAATGAGAACCTATCTTAAAAAAAAAAAAAGAATTGGGAAAATGATTCTCCATTATCAGACTACAAAAGATAATTAAATAAATTTGTCTAAATTTAATAAACTGATACAAGGAAAAAATTCTTCAAAATGGTTAAGAAAACTAACTAACTGGCAAGGCAGAGAGAGGTAAGGGTGTTATGGTTGAATTAAATGAACAAAGAGCAAGGCAAATCCCAGTAAGAACTACATGTGGTTTACTAGGGACTAAGGTCAGTGGATGAAGAAAGATGATTTCAGAGAGTGGAAAACATGAGTCTTTATTAACAGCTTGGTCTGAAAACACTTGACTTGTCACTGGATCAAACAGACCTGACAGCTCAGCCTCTTGCTTCTAACTCACTAACTACTCTAAGCCTGTCTCCCTTTCCACAGCTCGGAATACTATCATCTACTGAAATGAGGTGCTGTACTTAAATCTGGTTCATGATATGAAATCCCAGTGCTATATTCAGGACCTGAGTTTTGAAATTCTCATTTGGAAACCCTCATACCTTCAATGTCACTATCAGAACTGGTTTCACTGAAGCTCTTCCACCGTTCTCTTGCTCTCGAAAGAAAGATTTCATACAGTTCTGGAAAGAAAAACAAAAATTCATAAATAATACAAAAGAAATAAATTCACATTTTTATTTTCACTATAAGCAGGTATCAAAAGTGTGATGAAAGAGCGGTGGTGGCACAACCCTTTAACCCCAGCACTCGGGAGGCAGAGACAGCTGAGTTCAAGGCCAGCCTGCTCTACAGAGTGAGTTCCAGCACAGGCTCCAAAGCTACACAGAGAGACCCTGTTTCAAAATACAAAAACAAGCAAACAAAAAAAAAATGTGGTAAACTGAAGCAAACTCCCTTTGTCAGAATTCTTTATGACGTGACACAGGAGTAAGGTCATCCTGGGGTCTCCTGCCAACTCTAGGAATTGAGGGTCAACAGCCAAACTGGCTAAAACTAAAGCTAAAACTTGGGGAATCAGACCCAGACTGCATTCCAACTCTGCCAATTATTATCTCTGGGATTTCAAGAAACTTACTTAACTACTCTAGAACTCGATCTTTTTATCTGTAAATTAGAGAAAATAATATCCTACCAATAATTAAATAAGTCATTTTTGTAGGTTCTGGTATCTTTTCTCTTTTTTGTTTGTTTGTTTGTTGTTGTTTATTTTTGTTTGTTTGTTTTGTTTTCTAAGACAAAGTTTCACTCTGTAGCTCTGGTTGTCCTAGAGCTCACTCTACAGGCCAGGCTGGCCTCAAACTCAGAGATCCACCTGCCCGTCTCCCAAGTGCTGCGATTAAAGATGTGCACCACCAGCCTGGCATCTTCTGAAATCTTTTCTATTTTTGAGATAGGTTCTCAAGAGGTAGCCTTGGTTATCCTGGAACTTGCTTTGTAGATAAGGCTGGCCTCATATGCAGCAGTCTACCTGTTTCTGCCTCCCATGTGCAGGAATTAAAGGTATGGACTAAAAATTCTATTTAGTTTTAAATGTAAAACACAAAAATGGTTTCTGAAAAACACAAGTTGTACAAAACAGCATGGAATAAAAATAAATTTCCTTCTTTAAGATGTAACTACGTTTAGCAAGGCTCTTATGAACTACTCCAAAATGTGAAGATGTGCACATCTGATTTTTATATATCCTCAGTTTTAAAAACTCAGGGACTGGAGAGATGGCACAGCAGTAAGAGCGCTTACCACTCGTGTATAGGTTCCAATTTCAGCTCCCCATACGCATGTCAGGCAACTCAAAATGACATGTACCTACAGCTCCAGGGGTCCTACACCTCTGGCCTCCATGGACACCTGTGCTCACATGCATATTCCCATAGGCAGCACATACACATAATTAAAAATATAAAAATAAATCTTAAAAAACCAAAGTGATGACATATATATATTGCTCTCATTTTACCTTGTTCCATTAGAAGTTATATATGAGTAGGCACAATTGTTGTTGGATGGTTTTTTGTTGTTGTTGTTTGTTTGTTGCATTGCTGTGGACTGAACCTAAGGCCAGGACTCTACCACTGAGTTAAATCCCCAGACTTTTTGTTTATTTCTTTTTAACACAATATTCCGATGTATGACAACTATCACAAGTATTCTTAGATTGTCAAGACTCAGTTTTAAAAGTAACTGATTATATATATTTCAAACATACTTTATAATTCAATTTTCCTTTCAATTTACTAATCATTATTACAAATTACTTGAAAATAAAATTTAAAAGAAATAAAAAGTTAAAAATACTTATGCCCAAATCCATGAATGATTTGGTAGAAGAGGTAACTGCAATTTAAAATTTTATGCATACAATTGCTTGAGGTTGTCGGTTAGTAACTCATCGATTTTTTAACAATTTCAAACTGTTGTCATGCCAGTCTCCCTCCCTCTTTACCCAGCTGTAAGCTGTCCTGGAAGAAGAAAGGGCTCCAGCTGACAAATCATTCACATTGATTGAAATCACAAAAATTGATCTAGTAAGAAAAATGTGGTAACTAATTTTAAAAAATCTAAAAGGTAACTTTCCCAAGATTTATAATTAATATCCCCAGTGAAGAGACCTTTGTCTCAGTTTCATATTGAATCCAAAAGGGAAAGGTGGAAGCAGGCTTAAAGCCAGGACAAGGATGGTGCCTTACACGTAAATGGAGAACACTCTCATTTCAGGGTTTGGTCTCAGATTCTGGGAAAATGATGATAGAGACATTCAACAAAGAGCACCGTCACGGGAAATACTCATATTATGAACAGCCAGAACAATTCTTTGGTACAGCTAATGATTTTATCCTCATTTTACAAACAAACAAACAAAAGACTTTTAGATAGTAAGTAGTTTGCCCAAGGTCACAATCTAACATGCGGTGGAACGAGATGTGAACCTACCTAGCTTTACAGCCCGTACTCTTAGCGGATATTCTCTATTGTTTTAAATTTCACAATTAAAACTAATACAAATAAGGGATCAATAATTAATGAATTATACACCTGTGCCACCTAGGTCCTCTGCAAGGAAGACAAGTGTTCTTAACTAAGCCTTCTCTCCAACCCCAACTTTTCTTTTTCTGTCTTCTTTTTTTTGTTTTTTTTGAGACAGGGTTTCTCTGTGTATCCCTGGTTGTCCTGGAACTCACTCTATAGATCAGGATGGACATGAACTCACAGAGATCCCCTTGCCTCTGCCTGCTGAGTTCTGGGATGAAACAGTTGGGCCACCAGAGCCTGGCAAGTTTTTGTTTTTAAAAATAAAATGAACATGCTCTGTGGCTCTCTTAAGAAGAGCCTACACCTGTGCTCTGAGTGTCTTACATTTTTCCTGAGGACCTTTCTCTAACCCTGGGCCTAATCTACATTAACATATCTTAATAAACTCCATTTCTACTTTTCAAATGTTCATTACATGGTATTTGTGAATTTTTTTTTTTTTTTTTTGAGACAGGGTCTTACTGTGTGCCCTGGCTAGCCTGAAACTTACTGTGTAGACTACCTTGCCTCAAACTCAAAGATCCTCCTGCTTTTGCCTCTGGTTGAAAAAAATCAACTTTTTGTCTGTTTGTTTGTTTTTTCAAGACAGGGTTTCTGTGTAGCTCTGGAGCCTGTCCTGGAACTAGCTCTTGTAGACCAGGCTGGCCTCGAACTCAGAGATTCACCTGCCTCTGTCTCCTGAGTGCTGGATTAAAGGCGTGAGCCACCATCGCCTGGTGAAAAATCAACTTTTAAAAATCAAATAACTGTAATATTCACAGTTGATATCACTGTAATGATTAAAAATGGGCATCTAGCTAGGCAGTGATGGCACATTCCTTTAATCGTAGCACTCAGGAGGCAGAGGCAGGCAGATCTTTGTGAATTCAAGGTTAGCCTGGTCTATAGGTCTATAGATCTAGTTCTAGGATTGCCAGGGCTACACAGTGAAACCCTGTCTCAAAACAAAACAAAACAAAACAAAACAAAAAACCCACAGGCATCTGGATTTTTATGATTTTATTCAATTTCACTTAATGTCAGCTACAGCAATGAACATCCTTGTCAAAAAACTTTTGAGCCCAATTCCATGTATTGCCTTCTAGTAGATTCTTATAGCTGAAATAGATAGATCAATGATTTCTTTTTTTAACTAAAGTGTACTTATTATTATAGGGGAAACATGTGTCCTGGGCATGTGTAGAGGCCAGAGACAGACAGCTGTGTGGAGTGGGTTCTCCTTCCACTTTCCAGGGGTCAAACTCAGGTCATCAGGTTTGCACTGCATGCTTTGAGTTGAGCTATCTCATGGCCTACACAGCTTGCTTTCTTTTCTTTTCTTTCTTTCTTTCTTTCTTCTGTTTTTTCTCTTTTTTCTTTTCTTTTGAGAAAATGTTTCATGTAGCCCAATCTGGTCTTGAGCTCACTAAGTAGTTTGAGTTTATGGTCCTATTGTCTCCACCTTCTGAGCACTAGGATTGCAGGTATACCTGGTTTATGCAGTGTTGGGGACCAAGCCATATTCATGGTAGGTAAGCACTTTACAGAGTTATACCCCCAGCCATACAATATATTACTTCTGCTATTAAGAGATTGGAGTTTCCAAAGAGAGAGAGAGAGAGATGGAAGTCTCCTGCGGTATTATAGTTAACTGTCTTAACTATATAGGATTAACACTATCACACAAGCTGATTGCCACATATTTTGTTAGAAAAAAATTTGAGTCAATCTCAGGTAGCCCTTCACCTATGTAGACAGAATGACCTTAAACTTCTGATCCTCCTGTCTCTAGGCCTCGTGTGCTGAGATTACACTGGTAGGATTATAGGCATGTGTCATGCCCACTTCTTAAAAAAATTATTTTGTTTGGTATTACCCTAATCCTATTTAAACTTTTTCTTTAACTATCAAAATGACTCTAGCATTTTAATATTTGTCAAAGTTTTAAGAGACTTAAGGCAATTTCTTGAAAGTCTCTTTTTTTCTAAACTTTATCATCATCATCATCATCATCATCATCATCATCATCATTATCAGGTTCTATAGACACTGTAGCCTAGTCTGGCCTACAGCCCACTGTGGAGCCCCAGCTAGCCTCAAAACTGCAGCAAAGCTGTCGCAGCCTCCTAAGCGCTAAAGGACGGAGCTATCAAGCTTTTAAAATAAAATCTAAACAACAGAACACAACAAAAACTTGGTGAAACCCATGACTTTGTTAACTTAAAACATTGAGGGAAAAAATACTCAAACTCTAAATAAAGGGACTGGTTTGGATATACATCCAGCAGGAAAAAAATCAAATCAAGTTCCCTCAGTACACTGTCTGAACACAGATGGAGTCAGTCCGTCCAGGTGCTAACCTAGCATCTCCTGTGTGTACTTACTCCTCACTACACAGACGCTCACAAGCTTTACATCATCTATATTTGTAGTATTTGATGCCAAGAACACTATTGTGATAGCTGTAAACTAGAGGAAAAAGCCTGCAAATCTTACGTATATAATGATATATAAAATCTCATTAACTATTACAAAGTTTGGGAGGCCATGAGACATGCTGTGAAAGTGACATATATGGTAGTGTCTTTTAAATGGCAACTCTACTAACATGATTTATAAAACTCTGAAGATGATAATTTGTATGTGTGGGAATAACTGAATATAGAATACAAACCAGGAGTGATATTTAGTTCATTTCCTACAGCTAGACTCCAAACTTTCCCACGAACACTAGGGGGCAATCCCTGCCACCACAATTCTCGAACTCTTCTTGTACTACGCCTAGAATTAAAGGAGGAGAAAAAAGGAAAAAGTTAATTTTTATACCAAAAATCCTAGTTGCAAGCTGGTTTACCTACGGCCAAGTCACCAGATGACTTTTAAGAACTTAAAGAGGTAAGTATGTAATGCATTCTTTCCTTTGAGTTCATGCCTGAGGGCTGTAAAAACCTCTAAGATGGACTGCGGGGAAACAAAGAGAATGGCCCCAGACAGATGTTACTTATTTAAGATATAACCAGAAAATCAGAACTACATGGAAAATTATTAAAAATAAAAAGGACATAAAATGAACTGCCAGTTCAGTACCAAAACTAAAATCACAAAGAACCTACTATGAGTGAGGCCTGGATGAGCCCCTAGTTTTTAAGGAGCAGTAGTTCACTTGGATTCAAATCTAGTTGAGCCACTCATTGTATAACCTTGAGCAAAACACTTAGCTTCTCCAACCATGAGCTAGATAACCTTGAATAAGATAAATGTGAGTAAAAATATAACTGCCTTATAGAAGTACTAACACTCAAATGTAACTCCTTAACACAGACAATAGAATAGTTTCTTTATCTGCAGGGAATATATTCTAAACTCCAAAACCACAAATAGTACCAAACTCTATAGAGATTTTTCTTATACAAATGTAACTATGTTAAAGTTGAATTTATAATTTAGACACAATAAGAGATGAAAAATAGCTAACAATAAAAGGATATACTATAATAAATGTTACATAAATTAGGGTACTTCTACATAAAGGAAGTCCTTTACAGCTTCTCTTTGACAAATGTGATCACAGGATCCCTACTGTTACGTAAGTAAAGGAAGAGTTGCTTAACAGAAGCTCTGCAATCTATGACAGCAGCTCAGGTAACTGAAATGTCACTGAGTGAGTAATGGACAGGTCTTGTATACCACATGGAAATGTTGGACAAAGAATGATTTATGGCCAGGACAAAGTAGTGCAGAATAGATTTCACTGAGGTTCTCAGAAGAACATACAATTTAAACTTCTGAGTTTTAATTTCTACAATTTTCTATTTATATTCAGTTAGTTAATTTTCTACTTTTAGACCACAGGTAACCAAATCTTTCCAAATAAGAGTGTAGATAAGTGGGACTACTGTGTCTGTCACATTTCCAATATTTAACAAATTGTCAATGTATGTTCTACATACATTGTAGAAGGTATCCTTCAACTCTTTAGTACAGAGGGAAGATAAAACATGTAGAAATACTGTAAAAAAGGAAGAGACCAAAAAGGGGAAGAAAAAAAAAAAAGGCAAGAGGAATATCAGCCTCAAAGTATCACAGGACTTTCACAGGGGAAAGATTGCATTTCATGTATTTTCTCACTTAAGAGAACAGCATTTAAAAATACCTTTTATTGTTTTTATGTTTCTTATGTATCTATTTATTTATAGATGCTGTCTCTCTAGGTAGTTCTAGCTGGTCTGGAACTCACTACATTACACAGGCTGGCACTGAATTCATGGTAATCCTCCTGTCTGAGCATCCAGATTACTGGGATTACAGGCATGTACCATCATACTCAACTTTAGAAACACTTTTAACATCTGATAAATATACCTTATATTTTTCTATTTAATGAGCTCTTTCAATGATGAATCTCTTATAATTAGTGTTATATTAGAATTAAGAAAAATGGTAATTGAGAAGACTAAAAGTTTCCTGAGTCAGTTCATATCCCATGGGTTCCAGAGGACAAGTAAAATTTTAACAGCACAGAGGATGGTCAGTAAGAAGAGGATGCATTAGAGACAGGAGTTCATGAAGGGTTAGAGATAAACACGAGGCGATTCAGGCAATGGTTAATAGTAAAATTTAGCTACAGCATAAGATACATGCTGAGAAGTGATAATATAGACTTGGAAAAGATGAAATATTTGGAGACACACTAAACTTCTGGAAAATCTGCTTACTTACATTACTTCCCAATTGGGCAGTATCTCATTGATCCAAATTACCATTGCACTTGCAATGCTTTCTTCCTGCTTAAATCGTTCTTTCATTATTCTTTTTCTTTTATGTGCTTCTTTAATTTCTGTTTTGAACAAGTAAGAATTATTTCAATACAAATGAGCTAGATCAAAATCCCTTCCTTTTGTACCTAAATCTATAAAAAGGCTCCTTCAAGAAGAATCTTCTAGTAGTAGAGAGGAAGGAAAAGGGAGAAAAAGAAACAAAACCCTGGTCTAATATCATTTTAAAGTACCACCTTCCATCTCACAAAAGTAATGGGGTAAAGAGCAAAAAGAGTTTTTTTAAAAAATGATCAGTAAATTGCTGTTACTTCTTTCTAGTTGTTCTGTGTTTTGCTTTTTCATTGAGACAAGGTTCTGCAAGGCTGCCTATGCTGCCTGGCTGTACTACATTTTTCTTTGCCTTTGTTTCTCTTTTATAGCCTTTAATTATTTGTAAGACAGGGTCTCAAGTAGCCCAGGCTGGTTTCAAACTTGTTACAAAGCTAGGGTAACCCTGAACTCCTGACATTTCTGCTTCTACCTCTCAAGTTCTAGGATTACAGGTGTGTGCCACCACTCCTAGCTTATGCAATATGAGGGTCTACCCAGGACTTTGTCCACACTAGGCAGGCATTCTCCCAACTGATTTACATCCCCAGGGTGTCTTAAGACAGGCTCTCTTCCTAGATATATTGTGTACACCAGGCTGTCCTCACATGTACTTCATCCTTCTAGCACTGCCTCCCCAGGGCTGGGAATACAGATGAGTACCACTATGCCTAGCTGGGTGTACCATATAGTTCTGATTACTTAATCTACAAAATGGAATCTGTTGATGAAATAACTATATTTAAAAAACTGCAAGCAACTAGCCAAGAGCCATTTTTCATATAAAGGATTTATTAATTTCAACAAAAACAATATGATATTTAAAATGATTTTGCCAATGATACTATTACTTTATAAACACTTTTTAGCATGGTATTTTATTTTACTAATTAGGTTAAAATGAAAAATTTTCAACAAACAAAAATAATGCACTTCTGAGTTTAGAAGTCACAATCTTGTAACAAAAGCTGACTCAAATATAAAGAGAAGTGAGCTATAAATCAAGTTATAAAATGGGCAATGGTGGCGCACACCTTTAATCCCAGCACTCAGGAGGTAGAGGTAGGGGGATCTCTGTGAGTTTAAGGTGAGCTTGCTCTACAGAGCAAGTTTCAGGATAGCCAGAGCTACACAGAGAAACACTGTCTCAAAAAAAAAAAAAAACCAAAAAACAAACAAACAAAAAATTGGAAGTTATTTTAAAAAAATTTAGAACTTGTAGGAGATCAATTAGCCAAAGTATTTTCAAATTGTGTATCATGTGTGCCTCAGAAACTGTCTCGAGAGGCAAGAAAGAAGCCAAACACTGGCTCCACATCTACATTTTATGTATTCAGAGTGTATGTAAGATGTCTTTAAGAAAGAAGTGTTAAGGGGGCTGGAGAGATGGCTTAACGGTTAAGAGCACTGACTGCTCTTCCAAAGGTCCTGAGTTCAATTCCCAGCAACCACATGGTGGCTCACAGCCATCTGTAATGGGGTCTGGTGCCCTCTTCTGGCCTGCAGGTATACACACAGACAGAATACTGTATACATAATAAATAAATAAAATATTAAAAAAGAAAGAAGTGTTAAATAAGAGGTTGAAAACCCAATATAGTCACCTGCTTCCAAAGTTATAGATAAGGAAACAGTGGACCTATTCAGAGTTTCACAACCAGAGATCACATTAAAAAAGGATTAAGCCTAAAGCATTTTAATTTCCCAATTTATTATTATTTCTATATATAATGTACCACCTACTTCTCAATAAATATTAGTCAAATAATAAAGTCAAGATAAAGTAGTAAATAAAAGCTTACTGGCTGTGAATTTTGGGGGGGTTTTCAAGACAGGTTATTCTGTGTGGCCCTTTGTTGCTCTGTAGACCAGGTCAGCCATAAATTCAACAAATATTCTTAATTATAAATATTAAAATAAACTCAACCAATGTTCAAGTAATTAGGCATTTTAGAAGGCTATTACTGGGCTTATATCCATTATGTTTACTCTAACATTAAAGACACAACTTTACTTCCAAAGCAGAGCATAAAGCAGAACTATATGCTATTATTACATACTCCATTCCATTCACTTAAGCCAAAGGGGGGATCAGTTAATAAATTTTGCCTTAAAACATATATAAAAAAATATAATATATATTATAATACATATGTATAAAAATAAGTATTTATCCTTAACTAATGATGGCCAACACATATTACATACACTGTTAAACTACACTTATATAGGTGGGAGTTGGAGGAAAAAGGAATTAATAAAAACATAAATTGTGCAAATGAGAAGGTTTATAAACTAACCAAATGGCAACACTGAGACTTTAGGTAGACTTTACTAATTATATTTAGGTTCAAATTATAGTCTCCTAGTAATAGAGAAAACTAAAGTAACACTGGAAGAGTGGCTGTCATTGCATGAAAAAAATACATTGTAAAAAGCCAAAGGTCTAAATACTATTAAAGAGAAACAGCAGGAATAAGCTCATGAATAATATCCTTATAATTTTCTTAAAACAAAAACAAAAACAAAGCTAAATCTGGGCATGGTGGCTCACACCTATAATCCCAAAACTGGAAAGACTGAGCCCTGAAATATCTGAGAAGCTCAAGACCAGAGTGGCTTCATAGTGAGACTCTGTCTTAAAAAATTATAATAAAAAACCTAAGCCAAACCAAACAACAAACACCAAAACAAACCTAAATTATAAAAAAAATATGGTATAGAAAAATAAGAATTATCTTCATATGAAAATAGTTAAAAACCTGCAAATTAACTACAACATTTTAAGTCAAATATACCTCGTTTTTTCGCTTCAGCCACCATCTCATCATACTCTTGCCGGTGACGTAAAGCTTCTTCCACAGACTTTGCAGGAAGATTCCTGTTAAAAAAAAAAAAAAAAGCCAAACTTTAAACAACTTTAAAATTTACTACCTTTCTAGAAGCAGATATAAATAGTTAACCTAAAGTTATTTTCACAGAAAATGTAAATGTAAATGTGGAGCGCTCAGAAGGCATTCTGAGAGGTCAGCCTGGTCTACCCTGCCTCAACAAAGAAAAGGTAAATGAAAGGCAGAAAGGAATTCCGCATTTCAAAACAAACTTGGAATTCAGATCCCTGATATTTATGATATATAGAGACATTTATAGTTGTGTTTATATATGTAAGCATACATTTATTTTTAAGAATGATTTATTTTATGTATATATGTGAACCTGAGCTTACATATTTGTGTCCCAGGTATGCAGATGCTTGCCAGAGCCAGAAGTTGTTGGACCCCCTGAACCTGGATTAAGGATGGCCGTGAGCTACCCATGTAGGTGCTGGGAACTGAACCTGGGTTCTCTGAAAGAACGATAAATGCTCTAATCACTTATCTCTCAGCCCCGTATTTATTTTTTTTAAAAAAATTGTATTGTGCCAGGTGGTGGTGGCAGATGCCTTTAATCCCAGCACTCGGGAGGCAGAGGCAGGCAGATCTCTGTGAGTTCGAGGCCAGCCTGGTCTACAAGAGCTAATTCCAGGACAGGCTCCAAAGCTACAGAGAAACCCTATCTCTAAAAACAAACGAATAAAGTTTTATTGCATTTATTTGTGTGTGTGTGTGGGGGGGGCTGTGTATGGAGGTCAAAGAGCAACTCACAGGAGCTGCTTCTTGTCTTCTTCTATTTGGTTCCTAGAGTAAGAATTCAAGTTCTCAAATGTCATAGTTTTATACAAGCCATCTGGTCGACTCATGTTTAGATATTTAAACATTTCAGATCTTAGGCAGTGTGTTCAAGTTATTCGTTATACCCACTCCTAGATTTGTCATTTTTTAAATTTTTTTTATTGATATTTATTGAGCTCTACATTTTTCTCTGCTCCCCTCCCTGCCTCTCCCCTCCCCACTTCAACCCCAAGGTCCCCATGCTCCCAACTGACTCAGGAGATCTTGTCTTTTTCTACTTTCTATTTCTCATGTAGGTTAGATCTATGTAAGTCTCTCTTAGTGTCTTCATTGTTGTCTAGAGTCTCTGGGATTGTTGTTTGAAGGCTGGCTTTCTTTGCTTTATGTTAAAAAACCACCTATGAGTAAATACATGTGGTAATTGTCTTTCTGGGTCTGGGTTACCTCACTCAAAATAATGTTTTCTAGCTCCATCCATGTTCCTGCAAAATTCAAGATGTCGTTATTTTTTTCTGCTGTGTAGTACTCCATTGTGTAAATGTACCACATTTTCCTTATCCATTCTTCAGTCGAGGGACATTAAGGTTATTTCCAGGTCCTGGCTATGACAAACAAAGCTGCTATGAACATAGTTGAGCACATGTCCTTGTGGCACGATTGAGCATCCTTTGGATATATACCCCAAAGTGGTATTACTGGATCTTGAGGAAGGTTGTTTCCTAATTTTCTGAAAAATCGCCACACTGACATCCAAAGGGGTTGTACCAGCTTGCATTCTCACCAGCAATGCAGGAGTGTTCCCTTTCCCCACCACCTCTCCAGCATAAGTTGTCATCGGTGTTTTTAATCTTGGCCATTCTTTCAGGTGTAAGATGGAATCTCAGAGTTGTTTTGATTTGCATTTCTCTGATGACTAAGGATATTGAATATTTCCTTAAGTGTCTTTCAGCCATTTTAGATTCCTCTGTTGAGAGTTCTCTCCTTAGGTCTTTACTCCATTTTTTAAAATTGGATTATGTGTTCTTTTCGTGTCCAATTTCTTGAATTCTTTGTATATTTTGGATATCAGACCTCTGTCTGATGTGCGGTTAGTGAAGATCTTTTCCCATTCTGTAGGCTGTCGTTTTGTCTTGTTGACCGTGTCCTTTGCTTTACAGAAACTTTTCAGTTTTAGGAGGTTCCATTTATTAATTGTTTCTTTCAGTGTCTGTGCCTCTGGGGTTAAATTTAGGAAGTGGTTCCCTATGCCAATGCGTTCAAGTGTACTTCCTACTTTCTCTTCTATAAGGTTCAGTGTGGCTGGCTTTATGTTGAGGTCTTTGACCCACTTGGACTTGAGTTTTGTGCATGGTGATGGATATGGGTCTATTTTCATTTTTCTACATGTTGATATTCAGTTATGCCAGCACCATTTGTTAAATATGCTTTTTTTTCCATTTGATATTTTTTGCTTCCTTGTCAAAAATCAGGTGTTTGAAGATGTTTGGATTGATATCCGAATCTTCTATTCGGTTCTGTTGGTCCTCCTGTCTGTTTTTATGCCAATACCAGGCTGTTTTCAGTACTGTATCTCTGTAGTAGAGTATGAAGTCAGGGATTGTGATGCCTCCAGAAGTTCTTTTATTGTACAGGATTGTTTTGGCTATCCTGGGTTTTTTTGCTTGTCCATATGAAGTTGAGTACTGTTCTTTCGAGATCTTTGAAGAACTTTGCTGGGATTTTGCTGGGCATTGCATTGAATCTGCGATTTGTCGGTTTTCATAAACCCTTTTAACATACAACTAAAAAATTATACACATTTTAAAAAGAGTTTGACAAGAGGTAGGGTGCGAGGCTGGAGAGTAAGAGCAATGCCTTTTGAGTTAATTCCCAGCAATCACAGGGTGGCTCACAATCAACTAGAATGACATCTGGCGCCCTCTTGTGGCCTCCAGGCATTCATGCATGTAGAACACTACATATAATAAATAATAATTAAAAAACAAAAGAGGTAGGGTACAGTGACTCATGCTTATAATGCTAGCACTTGGGAGGCTGAAGCAGGAAGACTGTAGTGAATCTGAGGCCAGTCTGGGCTATACAGCAAGTTCCTGACCAACTTGAACTACAGTGTGAGACCCTGTCTCTAAAAGAAAAATGAAAAATTGTTTCTAAAATAATAGCCCAAGTGCATTGCTGTATTAACTTTTAATTTTCTAAATTCTAATAAGGAAAGAACAACAGCTACAGAGAGACACTGGATAGTAGAAAAAACTATGGAATTAAATCAGTCTAATTTTTTTCTTCTCTCTTCTATAGCTGCTCTATTATCCAGAGCAGTATAGTTTCTTACAAAGCATTAGGTTCTGGGAAGGACTGTTCATTGCTCTGGGAAGGATTTTCCTCTACAATGGCAGGAAACAACTGAACAGGACTTAGTATAGGGTCCTACAAGAGGCCCCTCATGGAGTTTCCCAAAGGCAAAGGATTACCTTGAATATTCCTCAGTGACCTACATTCATTAGTCCAATGTCTGCCTTTGCCACACCTTCCACATAATCCAGAAAGGAGGGGCTTATGCTTAGAGAAAACATTATTTCTAGGAGCACCCTTTTTACAATCCCTTTTAACCTTAAAACCTTGTTTGCCACAATTGAAACATTTGACATTTAGATTTTTCTTCAAACTTCTGGAAATCACTTCTCCTATCCAAGTAACATCATTGTCATAATATCCAATACTAATTGTATCTCGGATCCATTCCTTAAAAGGTCCTGACCTTGCCTTTAATGGCCTAATTATCCTTTTGCATTGAGAATTGGCATTTTCAAAAGCCAGAGATTTAATTATAATTTGTCTAGTTTCTAAATTTGGTATCATTCTATTTACCGCTGAAGTCAATTTTTGTAAGAAATCCTTTGAGCCATGCATAACTTTACTAAATGACTCAATTTTCTTCCCATTTCTCCAGTTCTGTCCCAACCATTCAAACCTGCTGCACAGCATAAATCCAGGGTGTGGTCATCACATACAGCTTGCATATATATAGAAATATACTATTTCTATAGTAGCATAATCTCCTTCCCCAAGAATTTGATTTTGGAAGATTTCCCAACCTCTAGCTTTACTCAGTTGTTCATTAATCTTGGCCTCTTCTCTGAATCTGGTACTCCATTGTAATTGTGAACCAGGCTCTAAAACACCTTTAACCAATTCTATCCAGTCAGTAGGGATAATTGTATTACAAACTGACCATTTGCTTCATAAAAAGTGAAGGCCTTGAACTGAGAGAGATTAACCTGCCTCTGCCTGAGTGCCGCCACGCTCAGCAATCTTTGACATTTTAAAGACAAGAGCTTCTTCAGCACTACAACTACTAGACAACTGTATGCTATACAGTAAATAAAGCACAAAAAAACCAGAATATTAGGGGTTTTTTTCTAAAAATTCACTAATTTTTACATCTGTCTGAAGAAGAAAATAAAAGGGAGAGGTGCTGAGGCAGTAGCTGAGAGCTATATCCTAGTCCACAGGAAGAGAGAGAGAGATTGAGACTGACTGGGCCTGGCATGGGCTTTTGAAAGCTCAGAATCCCCACCCAATGACACACTTCCTCCAACAAGGCCACACCTATATGAGGAGAGTGGTTTGAATGAGAATGGCTCTATAGGCTCATATATTTGAATGCCTGGTCATTAGGAAGTGGGACTATTTGAGAGGGATTAGGAGGTGAGACCTTGCTGGAGTAAGTGTGGCTTTGTTGGAGGAAGTGTGTCACTGGAAGTGGGGGCAGTGGGGGAGGAGGGTGCTTCTGGTTTCAAAAGCCCAAACTAGTTCCAATGTTTCTTCCTGCTGCCTGTGGATCCAGATAGAGAACTCTTGACTTCTCTTCCAGTACTATGTCTGTGTATATGCTGCTATGCTCCCTACTAATGATGAAAATGGGCTAAACCTGACAGAGGCCAGTGGTACAAGTCTTTAATCCCATTGCTCAGGAGGCAGAGGCAGGCTCTACATCTGAGTTAGAAGCCAGCCTGTACTAGGACAGTCAAGGCTAAACAGAGAAACCCTGTTTCGACAAAAACAAACAAACAAACAAAAAAAAAAACAACAAAAAAAGAAGATGGATTAAACCTCTGAAACTGTAAGCAAGCCCCAATTAAATGCTTTCTTTTATAAGAGCTACCTTGGTCATGGTGTCTTTTCACCGCAATAGAACACTAATTATGACAGTGAGACTCTGGGGGCCATTCTTGTTCATATAACCACAGTCACCTTTCACTAGCACCTTTCAGAATTTCTATTATTCAGTTTGGTATTGGTGCACATGTAGATCCAGCACTCAGGAACCAAGGCAAAAGGATTACAAATGCTAAACAGCTTGAGCCATGTAGTGAGACCCTATCTCAAAGAAGCTTTTGCTGAAGTTGTCAAATATGTTGCTAGCAGAATAATAGAAGCAATTTTACCCACTGATACTTCTTTTTAAAAAATGTTATAAGTATCAGTGTTTTTGTTTTTTTTTTTAACAAATTGACAAGAAACACAGCAACATATTAGTGTATCTGGATACATCATATTCCTTAAGGATGTCTTAATTTTTGTTTTGTTTTTGTTTTTCTGAGATGGTTTCTCTGTGGATTTCTTGATTTTTAGTTATATTAATAGAGAAAAAGGCATACACACACACACACACAAGGATGAATTTACAGAAAGTACTGTATTTGAAATCTTCTAACTAAGATTTTAGGTGATGAAATAGTTATCATTGCTCCATCTGTAAAAAAAAGTTTCAACCATAAAAACCTGTGCAGTTTAAAAAGAACCCTATGAACTCAGTGACTCCAGATGCATCTAAAACTATGGAACAAGAGAGAAAAGGGAGAACCACGCACAGGTTTCCTTTGGAGAAGAAACTCCTTACATTATCACTTCTGTTTGCATAGGAGGAAGCGTCCAACACCAATTCCATGCTAAAGAGGAAATTCTGCCCCTTTTTTCTAAGATTTATATTTTTATATGTGTATCTCTATATGTTTATGTGCACCACGTATATGTAGGTGCACACAGAAGCCAGAGGGCATCAGATTCTCTGGAACTGGAGTTACAGGCAGTTGTAGCCACCCAACATGGGTGCTGGGAAGCACTAGAATAGGTTCTCTGCAAGAACAATCTTCGAGTTTGTTTTGTTGTCGCTGTGATCATCCTGATCAAAATCAACTTAGAGAAGAAAGGGTTTATTTCAGCTTCCATGTTGTTGCTCATAACGAAGAGAAGGCACAGCAGGAGCGCCAGGTGGGAACCTGGATGCAGAAACTGAAGCAGAGACCATGGAGGAGAGATACTTAATGGGCAGATCCCCTAGCTAATGCTCAGCCGGCTCTCATACAACACCTGCCCAGGGGTAGCACTACCCATAGGGGGTTGGGCCCTCCTACAATAATCGGTAACAAAGAGAATACCTCACAGATATGCCCTTCTTCATCTGAGGCTCCCTCTTTTCAGGTAACTATGGGTTTGTATCAAGGTGACCACTGACAAACTGACCACAGGCAATAACTATGACTTATTGCCTTTAAGTATCCTTAACCGACTGTGTCTTTTCTCTGGCCCTTTGCCCTTTCTGTACTGCTCTCGTAAATGATTATCTCATAGCTAAGAAATTGTCATTACCAGTAAGTTGAATTTAAAAGCAAGCCAGCAGCCAGGAGGCAGAGGCAGGTGGATCTCTGTCAGCTTGAGACCAGTATGATCTACATAATGAGTTCTAAGCTAGCCTGGGTTATAGAGTGAGACCCTGCCTCAAAACAAAACAAAACAAACAAACAAAAAACAGGGTATCTTGAACCTGTCTGCATCCACGAACAGGAAAACAAACAAAGCCTACAAAATTACTAAGGACTCTGCTCCAGCTTCTCAGCCTCTAACTGGAGAGATGTTATCTGACCCAAATCTGTCAGAAGGTATTCTGGGAGAGAAAAGGTAGGTGTTCCACTTAGTATTCATGCTGTACTCATGGATTACCATCTGGTTTATCCTTCATAAGACTGAATTTTCATTTACTTCAGTTCTCTTCACCTATTTTTTCAACTCATTGCAGAGGAGACAAGTAATGAGCGATTAAGCATTTCCATATTCATCCTTTAAATGACAGTTATATAAATCACATAAATCATTTCCTTCTAGAATGGTCCTAGTCAAATTTAAGAATTCATTATAGCAAATCAGAGTTAAATGAAACAGAGATCACATTTAATCTCTAGATTACAGATGACTAGATACATGGGGGGAAGCTCCAACACTTATTCTAATTATTACTATATCAAATTTAGAGTAATAGAATAATCTACCTGCTTAGTTTGGAGTCTATCTAAAGATCCTCAGCCAAATAATTTTTTCCTTGCTTATCTAATCATCCTTGCTTTCCTGCAAATGATTCTTCCTAAGAACAGAATCTTGGAATTGGCTGAGTTCATTTTTATATCTGGAAGTCTGAAGTGAAATTTTTACATGGTCTCATTACTAATTGTAGGGGTGGGGGTGAGGACAGGGAGGATGAAAGAGGGATTTCACTGGATACCCCAGGGTTGTACAAATCTTACTGCATAGCATATGTTGGCCTCCAACTCACAGCAATGCTTTTGCCTCAGCCATCCAAGTCCTGGAGTAACAGCTGTGAGTCAGTACTCCCAGCTCCTATTACCAGGTTCCTAAAAAGCCTTTTTAAAATAAAAAACAACAAAAAAACAACGTAAAAATTATTGAGAATAAAGTTACTAAATTAAGAAGTCATTTGGAGGTTCTAGAGGGGGAGTGTTAACTACTTAATCAAACACTCTCTATCATGGAAGATCATTCTCGTCAACCAAACACACTGCATTAGGAAGGACATAATGTAGGAAGCAGAACTTAGAATAAATAAGCACTGGAGAAACCAGGACTGCCAATCACGTGTGCCTACTATCTTCAATGGAAGGAAATGAATAATACATAGTCACCTAGAATGCCAGAGTGAAAAGTAGTCAATCAACTTAGTGATCTTTTTGCTACTCTATGAGCCAGCCTTCCCGGATCCCCCAATACCCTGAGCATTGTTTAGGTCCTGATCCTGAGCTTTGTCTCCTAAGTGAATAGAACACCATCCCTATGAAAGAGGCCCTATGTATTTTGGCATCCTCCACCAATAGAATCTATCCTATATGATAGAATCTTCTAGACCTGAGCTCTATTTAATCAGTCAGTAGAACTCATTCTTATTGTAAAGGTCATGGGTCACAAGTTCTATGACTTAAATGTTTATATGGATAAAAAAAAAAATAAACCACAGGGCCAGCCCAGGGCTTAATCTGGTGCCCACAAAATTGGCATGGCAGTGTTCTGAGTTCTCATTCTCTCTCTCTCTCTCTCTCTCTCTCTCTCTCTCTCTCTCTCTCTCTCTCTCTCTTTCTCTCGGTTGGTTTTTCAAGACAGGGTTTCTCTGGATAGTCTTGGCTGTCCTAGAACTCACTCTTTAGACCAGGCTGGCCTTAAACTCATAGAGATCCACCTGCCTCTGCCTCCTGAGCGCTGGGATTAAAGGCGTTATCTCTCCATGGTCAACTTTCCCACTAATGGCAATACGTTCAAGAACTCTTCAACACATGCAGAGAGGTAAGTGAGACACTCAGATCAGTCCAGTCAACTATGGTGATCAGTGGGTAGACGTATATCACATCCAGATTATTCTCACACCCAGTTCTAGCCAATTAAAAAGTTGTATGAGGGCCACAATTTTTTAGTCTTAAATGCCCTTATAATCCCAATCCAACCTTTCATCTTCTTTGAAAGCTTCTACAGAACATTCTACTTTTGTTTAGCTCAGGATTGTTTATTTTTATGTTCAACAAGGTAACAGATGCAGACCAGCTAAGTGACAAGATGAGCGAGAAGGAAAAATGAAAACAAAAACCTAACAACAACAACAAAAAAAACCACACCCAAGAGACTCAGATAGGGGAAAAGAGATTAGGAAACAAATAGTATTTCTTTAGTAAGGGTGTAAGTAAGATACTTGCTAGGGATTGAACCCAGGGCCTTGCACATTCTAAATATACACTCTACCCCTAAATTGTAGCCAACCCCTAAGAAAAGATATATTTTTTAAGATTTTATTTATTTATTAAGTATACAGTGTTCTGTCAGAAAAGGGCACCAGATCCCATTATAGATGGTTGTAAGTCACCATGTGGTTGCTGGGAATTGAACTCAGAACCTCTAGAAGAGCAGCCAGTGCTCTTAACCTCTGAGCCATCTCTCCAGCCCCATAAAAGATTTTTTTTAGTTGTATTATTATTATGTGTATGAGTGTTTTGACTTCATGTACTTCTAGGCACCATGTGCAAGTTTGGTACCCAAAGGCAGGAAGAGGGCCTGGAACTGGACTCATTGTGAGCTGCCATGTGGGTACTGAGTATTGAACCTGGGTCCTCTCAAAGTGTAGCTGATGCTCTTAACCATTGACCTACCTCTCCAGCCCAAGAATAGATTCTTAGTAGTAGTAAACGAGCTGGTTGGCATTCAGTAGTTATATGATATAAAAGGCAAGGATTGGTATATCTCAAATACAGACTAGACATCAAAACCAAAATAATCCCCTAGTAATGCTTGCCATAAGATAAAGAATACTGCGTTGAAATAGAAACAGACATAAAAAAACATGTCGGTTTTTATTGGTGGTGGTACAGTTCTGAGACTAAAGTCTTGGTGTGTATGTGTGTGTGCATTTGTGTGTGTCTAGTATGTATGTATGCATCTCCCAGCCTGATCATAAATTTGTGGTTTCAAGTGACACTCCTACCTCAGCTCCTGGACAGAAGGGACTACAGGTACACATCATCATTCCTGGAAAGAATAAAGATTTTGTTTTATAAGGGCTGGGTTGTGGTGGTGCACACCTTTAGTTCCAGCACTGGTCTACATAAAGTTCCAGGACAGCCAGGTCTACTAGTGAGGCTGTAAAGATAAAGCCTGAACATCAAAAATATGTTTTTCCCTGTTCATTTTAGGATACATGGTGATGCATCCTATAAGTCTACACTGGGAAGTACAACAGGAAAATATTAGATTTAAAACCAGCCTGGGCTAAATGAGATCCTATCTCAAAATGAAACAGAAAAAAAAATCCCTTCCTGTATTTAAGTTCTATTTTAAATGAAATAGTGAAAACAATTAAATCTAACTTTAAGCATAAATAATGAACCTAATGATCACTAAATACTTACGATGGCCGGTCCTCAAGAATCAGGGCAGTGGTAGAAAGTGGCTCAAACTCAAAATTCTTACGTCTTGAAGACTGAGGTGGTACTTTACAGGTTCTCCCTGTTCGTGCTTCATATTCCTAGAGCAAATAAGGATATAATTTATATAGAGACTTTTCTAATTTTCAGTATGTACTATTAAACCTCTATCATTAAGGGCATTATGCTATAAGGGATATAAAATATCAAGAAAATAAATAAATTTCTTTTTTATTTCCTAGGGCAGCCTAATTATAAATTCATGTTATATAAAAAGTACCAAAATGTGTTAGGAAAAAGAATGACAGAAATACTACAGACAAACTGGGGGTGGTCTTAGGGACCCTTTGTTTTATTTCCCTTAGTAGTATCATCTACCTAAGCAGATAAAGTTACTTTCTATGTCTTAGATGAATGATGTAAATGCTGAGACAGGAGATAGCCTATTTAACTGTGATGCTCAGAAGAACTCTCGAAAGGGTGACATTGAGATTCTAATAAAATGGTGCTTTTAGATTTCGGGCTTCTGTAACTCTAACTACTACATATATAAACACTCCAAGAGAAGAAAGTCTTGGCTTATAAGTACACCTTATAATTATAAACAAATTACCAATACATCATATAAATTATAGCCTAAAACACAATAAACTCTACTAAATTAAAAAATAATTGTTTTATAATATTCCTTTATTTCATTGAATCTGATCATTCTACTAAAAGATACAATATTAATATATTCTTTGTAGAATTATTTAAATTTCTCCCTTTGAGCTTCTTTTTGTTGTTGTTATTTTTTCAAGAGAGAGTTTTTCTATGGGTATAAGCACATGTATTTGGAAATCAGCTTGATATTATATCAGTTTAGCTACACGTCTTTATTCAGCACCCCAATCCATCCAGGGCCTATGATCTCAAGACCTCATCATGAGTTTTTGGACTTTGGTTTTTTGGTTTGTTTTCTGGTTTTTCGAGACAGGGTTTCTCTGTGCAGCCCTGGCTGTTTTAAACTCACTCTGTAGACCAGGCTGGTCTCAAACTCAGAGATCCACTTGCCTTTGTCTATGCCTCTTGAGTGTTGGGATTAAAGGCATGCACTACCACCACCAAGCCCACTTGAGCAATTTAAAGAAATGTTTACAATTTTGTGAAATCCATTCCCAGAAACTGACCAAAAATCAATATTAAGTTGATTCATTTATAATCTGTATGATTCATACTTTTATATTTCTCTTTAAAAAAAAAGCTGCCTGAGTCTGGATAGACTGCTTGACAGTTAAGAGCACTTGCTCTTGTTGCTCTTATAGAATCTAGATTATCAGAGCTCAGATCCCAGCACCCATGATGAACAGCTCACAACTACCTATAACTCCAGCTCCAGGAGATTCTGACAATCTCTTCTGGCCTTTGCAAGTACCTGAATTTACATGCACAAACTCATGTGCAGACACAACAGATAGACAGACAGACAGACAGACACACACATACACACACATAATTTTTGAAAGTCATCTAGCAATTACAAAAGACTTTAATTGATCATTCATATGAAGAAAATTAAATGTACTTAAAGTGATCAAAGGTTTCATTCACTAGTGCTTAGCTACCACAGCCTATAATTCTTTTTATATGATGTGGTAGTTTGAATGTAACTGGCCCCCATAAATTAATAGGGAGTAGCCCTATTAGGAGGTGCAGCTTTGTTAGAGTGGCTATGGCCTTTTTGGAGGAAGTGTATTACTGTGGGGGCAGGCTTTGAGGTTTCCTATGCTCAGGATACTTTCCCAGTGTCTTAATTGACTTCCTATTGCCTGCCAGATGTAGGACTCTCAGTTACTCCTCCAGCACCACGTCTGTCTGTCTGCATGCCTCCATGCTCCCCGCCACAATAATAGACTGAATCTATGAAACTGTTAGCCGCCACCTCAGTTCATTGTTTTCCTCTATAACAGTTGCCATGATCATGTGTCTCTTCACAGCAATAAAAATCCTAACGAAGATATATGATTATTACACATTTTCTAACTCAGAATATTTCTCTATATTGAATCATTATAATGCAAAATATGAATTTACTGTATTTAAGGAGATAACAACCAACTTGAAATTTCAGCAGTGAATTACAAACTGTAAAAAGTGACAGAGCAGGACTACAGAGATGGAGACCCACACAGTGGAAGGAGGGAACTGACTTCAACATGTATGCCATGGAACATTTGTGTATGCACACATAGAGAGACACATACAGATACACAAATACAATGTAATGTAATTTTTAAAAGCAATATAGCAGCTGACATGGTGGTGCATGCTTATAATTCTAGTACTTGGGAGGTAATGAATAGCACCTCCTCCAGACAAACCTGAGTGTGAGACCTTGCCTCCAAACAAAACAAAAACAAAAACAAATTATAGAGAGGATTTAATGTATAGTGCTGCCAAAAGATGTTTTTCCTCCCCTCCCACCATCTTTCATTTTTGCCAAGTTCTTCCTATATAGCCCTAATTGGCCTGGAACTCACTGTGTAGACTCTCATTGTGCAGACCAGCCTGACATTGAACTCACCAACATCTGCTTATTTCTGTCTCCTGAGTGCTGGGATTTTGTTTTATTTTATTTTTATTTATTTATTTTTGGTTTTTCAAGATGGGGTTTCTCTGTGTTACAACTATGGCTGTCCTTTATGGACCAGGTTGGCCTTAAACTCAGAGATCTACCTGCCTCTGCCTCCCAAGTGCTGGGATTAAAGGCATGCACCACCACTGCCCAGCTAGTGATAGGGTTTTAAAAAGATGTGCCACCATGCCAGGCAAAATTTGTATTTTTTCTTAGTTTGATTTTGGTGTTTTGCTGGCATTTATGTTATATATACATGCAGCGCCTGTAGAGGCCAGAAGAGGGCATAGGATTCCCTGGAACTGGAGTAATAGCTGTGAGTCACTATTTGAGTATTGGAAATCAAACCTGGGTTTGAAGAGGAGCCATTGCTTTTAACCACAGAGCCATGTCTACAGGTCCAAGATTTGTATTCTCAACACAAATTCTAAATAATGCTAATAAGACACTATGTTTGAGAAGCAGAATGCCAGACTGACCCACTATAACTTCATGTCCATATCTCCAAATCTACTGCTTAGTTTCTATGCTACTTCCAGAATTATCTTTATAATATATATAAATTTGGTATTTCAATACCTTACTTAAAGGTATTTTGGATAAAATCTAGTTTTCTAACCTTATAGCTAAGGATTCTTCATCATCTACTCTAGATCCCTGATATGTCAGCTGTTATGATTTGGATTTTAAATGTACCTGAAGGACACATATGTAAAATTCAAATTTTGTATATTGATACAAATTTGATGTTAATTTTGCTAGAACATAATGTACATACATTTCTACTCTTGTTCAAGGTATTATACCTATAACACTCATTTAACAATGTAATGCAAATTTCTAGTACTTGAAAATTTATTATTACCAACTGTTCAGGATAGTAAGAAAATGCAGGTTAGTAGTTAATCACCAATTATAATCGAACTTATAGTCACATTAGGTACGTTTTCAAGGTCAAACAGATATATTTTAGATAGACAGGTCATCTTCAAACACTTCAGAGATCTACAGAATATGACATTTAAGATGTTTCAATAACATAAGTTTCTTTTTTTATGACACTGAGACATGTCAGCTCCTGGCAGCACAAATCTACTTCAGAGAAGATGATGGGCAGTGAAGGATCTCCACATGAAGCTTACTTTCTTTGGGACAAAGTAAGCCACTGGGCCTCAACTGCTAAAAGTATGTTATTCTATTGGACAAGCAGGATACAAAACAAAGTGACTGTCAAACACTGCTGAGACAAGGAGAAACAGTCCTTCAGAAAACCCTTTTTCACAGAAAAGTCTGTCAGATACACTAGGAACGTAGGCCAAAGATGGATTCCCCAATGTTGTAGTGGAACTGTGGGTGACTGTCTAGGTAGTGAGCTGTTTCTGTCATTTTTCACATTTTTGGACGTCACTGGTTTGCACTCCCTGCTTACTCAGTTAATAATATTTCCTTCTTGGGTCTCTGAGGGAGTTGAAGACTAGATAGTTATGGTTATAGCTTTCCTTGTTTACCAGATGCAGAAAGTAAGTTATGATAGAACATAAATTAGGTACAAGACTTTGAATTCACCAAGATAGGATATGGAGTATTTTCTCTGAATTTATCAAAATTAAAAATGGACATTGTTGATGCATTTATTGCCTGTATATATTGAATATAGTTAATGTACTTATTGTATATAGCTTTTCTTTCTTTTTTTAAAGCCTCTTTTTTAAGATTTATTTATTTATTTTATGTATGAGTGCTCTATCTGCACCTTTATGCCAGAAAGGGCATCAGATCCTACTACAGATAGTTGTAAGACACTATGTGGTTGCTGGAAATTGAGTTCAGGACCTCTTGAAGAGAAGCCAATACTCTTAACTCTAAGCCATCTCTCCAGCCCCCAATATATAGCTTTTCTTACATTGGTTATAGCTTTCTTTTTTTATTTTAGACAGAAAAGGGGAAATGTAGTGATATTTCATTTGGGCTTTAATAAATAAAGTTTGCCTGAAAATCAGAATGCAAAACAGCTACTCTAGTCAGCCATACAAGCCAGACAGTGGTAGCACACACCTTTAATCCCAGTAGCCACACAGTTAGCCACAGAGGTCAGGAAGGGTGGTGCCTGCCTATAATTCCAGCACTAGAGAGTAATATAAGGCAGGATGAGAAAGGAACTATTTTTCTTTCAGTCTGAAGATTTCAAAGAGGTAAGAGCTCTCTAGTGGCTTGACTGTTTTGCTTTTCTGATTTTCAGCTTGAACCCCAACATCTGTCTCTGAGTTTTTTTATTATTCATGCTACAGGAAATTCTGGAGGCACCACCATTACTGACTTCAAGCTCTACTATAGAGCATTAGTAATAAAAACAGTTTGGTATTGGCATAAAAACAGGCATGTGGATCAATGGAATTGAACTGAACATCCTGATATTAATCCACACACCTAGTAACACCTGATTTTGACAAAGAAGCAAAAATTGTACAATGAAAAGAA